GGCTCCGCGGTCCAGCGCAGACTCCGAGCGCCCTCCCGCAGCCCCCCACCTCTCTTCTGGCACCCGGGAGGGGGGCACTGGGAGTGCGCAGATCTGCGGCAGCAACAGGCGTGCAGAGGGGGAGGGGCGGGGGAGGCGCGGGCCCCGGGACCTGCCCCACCGACGGAACTCACGGACCGAGAGAAGGGGAGGAGGTGGGGAAGTAGCGACCGGACTGGACAGGCACTGCAGATAGCGACATCGCATGGGTGGATGGAGGGGTGGGGCTGAGTTCCAGAGGGGGCGGGACGCCTGGACCTGACAGGGGCCCCTCCTGCCTGGAGCTGCTCTAGTCCTCCTCGCTCTGGGGTCCCGGGACCCGGTTTACCTTCCTCCAGCTCCGGAATAAAGGCGGCGAGCTCGGGGCCTGACACGCCCTGCCGCCGGCCGATGTAGGCAGTCGGCGTCTTCCAGATGCCCGCTGCCTCTCCAGTCCCCAGGCCAGTGGCCCGGGGACCAAAAGGCCCTTGGACTATGAAGCGGGTCCACGGCGCGTCTGAGTTGCAGCGCACAGGCTGGGCATTCCCCCCTGGACAGCCGAGAATGCGGGCGCGCACTGCGCTCGCGGCTCAGATCCAGCCTCCGAGGCCGGGCGAGTTCCGGTTGGGGGTCCCGAGGCGGATGGGGACCCGGATCCAGCTTCCTGTCCAGCAGCGGGTGCCTGAGCAGGGGAGGGTTCAGGCTCCGCGGGGGGGCTCTGGGGCGTGACTGGCTGCGGGCGGGAGTGCAGGGGTGACTGCTGGGGGCTCTCCGGGCCCGGGTCCGTCCCGGTCCCCGGCGCAGCCCGGCCGGGACTCCTTTGGGCGCATCTCGGGTCCGCAGTCCGCTGACGCAGCCCGACCTTCATAACCTGCGTCTGGCCCGGTGCCCGCTGAGCGGGATCACGCGCGGAAGGAGGCGGTGGAGGAGCAACTAGTGGTGCCCGGCCCCCGGGGTTGCGCGGGGCCCAGCTAATGTGGCGGAACAGAGCGCAGAACTAAGAGAAGAGCAAGAAAAAGAGTCGAGAGGAGGTTCCAGCTTGTTCTGTGGCCTTAATTCTGAGTTCAGCGCTTCTCCTCCCCCTCCACTTCTAGATAATGGTTCTTCCCAAAGTCGCAGCTTTTCGGGGACTCGGAGGCCCCTAACTGGGGGCCCCCCTTCCCTCCACTCCTGCCCAGGGTTTCGGCTGCCTGCCCTGGAGTTGGCCTGTGAGTTAGGAGGGCAGCATTGTGTCTTTCCCGGATGGTTGGAATATCAACTCAAACTCCTGGACAGTCTCCTGGCGCTGCCCAGTCTGGCGTGTCACACACTGATCTTTCTACCGTCTCCATCGTTTTGCCTTCCCCACATGTCATGTAGTTGGAATCATACAGTATGTAGCATTTTTAAATTGGCTTCTTTCTCTTAGTAATATGCATTTGGGTTTCCTCCACGTCTTTTCATGGCTTAATAGCTTGTTTCCCTGAAGCACTGAATAATATTCCATCGTCTCGATGAGCCATGGTGTATTAATCTATTCACCTACTGGTGTCCTTACATTCTTGNGGGAACCAGTTCTGGCCCTCCCAGAGGCCTCTGTCCACCCCCACCCTCAGCTCCTACGGAGTACCCAGGATCCACTGGGAGAGCATTCCTAACTCAGGTCTTCTTTCCAATAAATCTTTATTGACTTGACACAGAGCAAGGCATTGGGTAAGCAGCCAGCAAGACCTGGTCCCAGCCTACTCTGAGCTCAAGTGGAGCAGGGAGACTGATGGAAAAAGAAATCACAATGGTGCATACTACAGGCTGTGATGGAGCAAGTGTCAAGGACGGATTGGGGGTCACAGAGGTGGCAACCCAGCTCAGTCATGCAAAGTCTGTAAAGCAAAGACGTCCACGAGGCAAATGGGGCTCAGCCAGGCATAAGAGAAGACATGGCCCAAGCAGGGCCCAGAGGCCATCAAAGGACATATGGGGAGGAGTGGCTGGGGCCGTGGGCAGGGCTCCAATCACAAAGCCTGGATAGGGAGGTTGGGCTTTATCCTTTGGCCAATTGGAAGGTATCTGGGAGTTTTAGGCAGAAGAGTGACATAGTCAGATCTGGTTTTAGAAAACTCATTTTGGGCTGTGGGCCTGGAAGGGCAGGAGTGGAGACAGGGAAACCAGCTAAGAGGCAGCTGGGCTAGGAAGGAGAAAAGAGACTTGAACCTTTCCCAGGAGGGAGAAGCAACAGAATATGAGGACTGGCTCCTTCCTCAGAGGTCTGGGGACCATTGGAGCCATTCAGGGAGCTAGGGAACCCATGGGGAAGAAAGGTCAGGTTTGGGATGAAGGGAACAGCTGTTGCCACCTTGAGCCTGTATCTCACCAGCCAGACTTGAGCTCCTCAGGGACAAACCCTGTGCCTCACTCATCTTCATAAACGCACAATGCCAGGCAAAGCCATTGCTTAATGAGCAACTCTGAATTACCCCAACCCCAGTGCCTTGGGGTGCCTGGTCTGTGGAAGCTCACAGCTCCCTCCCTCTCCTTGCCCCAAATAACAAAGGGAGACTGGCTTAGAGGAGACCCACAGCCTCTGTATAGCTCTTTACAGTTTATATAAAACATTTCCTCAGCTGTAACCCCTGCAGAGGTCAGCAGGGCTGAGATTAGTAATCCCCATTTTAAAGATGAAGGTTCAGAGAGGTCAAGGAACTTGTCTAAACTCACACAGCTAGGACGTGCCAGAGCTGGGACTTGAACTCGGGTTTCCAGACCCAGAGTTCTGAGTTCTTCCCTCTGCTCCTTGGGACAAACCCCTTCCAATTACAACTTCACATACAAAACTGCTCCACACATTCCAGAATGAGCATCTGCTCCTCCTCCTCAAGGGCATCAAGCTGCGAGGCCTGGAGGGAAGGAAAGAGGAAGGGGCAGGGGAGTGAATACCCCCTGCCTGCAAGCTCACTCTCTTCCCTCATCCTCACCTCCTCTCTCAGCTGCTGGTGCTCCTCCTCCAGCAGCCTCAGCTGCGCCTGCAGGGCTTCTAGCTGAGGACCGTGGTGCAGCGGCTGTGACTCTGTCAGAGCCATCTAGGGAAGAAGGGATGGGAGTCAGGGTGCAGGGGGCGGGGAGATTCAGCTCCCAGCCCACCCGGGCTAAGCATGGCGGTCTCAATGAGCCCCAGCAACCCTACTGGCAGGTACACTGTCCATCGGTGTCCCTGTTTATAAACAAGGGAACTGAGGATCACAGAAGGGGCTGCCCAGGTGCAAAGTGAGAACACTCACAGCTCAGGGGCTTCACAGGGATGACCACACTGCTGTTCCTCCTCTTCATCAGAGTCTGAGTAGAGCTGAAGGAGGTCATCCCGCAAGCTCACCTGGTGTCTAAGGTGTAAAATCTAACAGGGGGAGAGGAGCCCTGAGNTGGGGAGCCTTGGAGATGGGGAAGGCAAGGGTAGGTGACAGGAGAAGGTGGGCAGAGGCAGGAAGCTGAGGCTCAGTGCGGGGCTGCAGGGCCCTGACCCCCAACCCAGCCCAGCCCCCCAGAGAAAGGGGCTAGAGATCTGGAACCTCATGAAAATTCCATGTAAATAAGTATTGGGGCCACAGTTCCTGCTAAGGGGAACCAGAGGTGCCTATGCAAATGATATGCAAAGTTCATGCAAATCAGCACACTGGGTCAGGGCCAGGCTGGGGTAAGTGAGCACTTTCGGAGGCTCACCTACCCTCATCTTTCATGAGCTTGATGATCTGCAGCTTGTCTGGCTGGCCGAAGGGATGCCCCCATTGGGAGCACTCACCTTTCTGGAGCATATTCTGCCTCAGCTGCTGCCTGCAATGGGCGTCCTGCCAGTTGGCCAGTTGCTGGAGGACATACTTCATGTCCAGATGCAAGGGTCCCAAGCCACTGGCCTCCAGGGCTGAGGCTACCACATTCATTCACGTTGCCTCATCCAGTTCTGCCTCCATCTCCTCCCAGGCCTCAGCCTCCTTTGACACCAGCTCCGCCTCTACTGCCACCCCCTCCTCAGCTGTCACCACCTCTTCTGCAGCCTCCAGCTCCTTCTCAGGCACTAACTCCTCCACAGGTATGAAATCCTCTGCTGGCATCGACCCCTCCTCAGCCTCGAGCCCCTGTTCCAGCTCTTGCTCCTCACTGTAGTGCGAGAGAGACAGGAAAGTCTTTCTATGTCCCGGCAAGCCAGCCCCAGCCAGAGCCCTTAGCCCCGCTCTTCTGCTCCCCACTCACATCTCCAGCCACGGGGGCTGAGGAGCAATCCTATCTTCTGTCCAGCCTACACACAGACCCAGAACTACAACACAGTTCTGTCCCAACCCGGGGGAGGGGAGCTGGGTATCAGCCTCAAGGCTTCAAACACCCAGCCCATGCCCCTGGTAGGAAGGAGGAAGAATGATCCCCAATATTGCATAGACCCCACCATCCCCTAGTACCCCCCATCCTGCTGCTCAACAGAGACCAACAGGGATAATATTGCCTCTGCCCCCTCCATTATTTAACCTTCACAACCCATCGCACAGCTAGTTGCCATAGGAACATATCCATTTTAGTAAGGCTCAGACAGGTCAAGTGACTTGCCCAAGGACACACAGCTAGTAAAGGGATCGAGCTGGAACTCAGTCCCAGGTATTCCCTCTCAGCCCCTGGTCAGGTGAAGGAAAGGATCCGGTCTCCACATGGAGCTGCCTTAAATCAGACGGCCACCTATGGGGCAAGATCTGAAGAAAAAGGAGGCAGCTCCTTCCCAGCATAACTTTGCACCTAACAGAGAATGGGGCCTTCTCCAGGGCTGTGGGCTCGCAGAAGCAGCTTCACGTGGCTGTCTGGCTGCTGACAGGTGAGGAAAGGTAATGGCCAGCTTACCCCAG